CCGGAACAAGGGGAGAGAGGGCTTCCCATGTGCCGGAACAAAGCCTTCAACTGAATGAAGTCTTCGCACCCATGTCCAGCTTACCAGAGCTTGCTGCGCCAGGAGAGGAATGAGATCCCGTTGTCCTGTGGAGCCTGCATGCATGCATGCAAATGGGGAATTTGCATTAAAATGGGGTACTTGGAAATGGGGCAATCCCACTGCTGCACCTCTGCTTTCTTCAGCTTGGATAGAGCCGGGCACCCAAGCTGCTGATGGTAGTGATGGCAGGAGCCATCTGAGCAGTCATTATCCCCCCCTCCCCAACCAGCCAGCCCCGCCTGACCATCTGGCACAAATCCTCATTGCTCTTCTCCTCCTCCTTCTCCACACTCAAGCAACAGTGGGCTCTGCGGGACAATGTATCTCATTCCTCCCCTGGTGTGGCTTGGCGAGCCCTGGTGGGCTGGATGTGGGTGTGAGGGCTTCACTCAGTTGAAGGTTTTGTTTCCGCCCTCAAATGGTAAGGCCAGCAAGCATGAGCAAACAGCCCACCTAGGCCACAGACGGCATTGATTCCTGTGCCGGGGCCTTAGATCTGACCTGCACAGCTGCCCTGGAGCCAATGAGAGACTGCCCTGCCACCTCACCCTTGCCCCATAGGGGTGCCCCCAGGAGGCAGCGAGTGCATGAGCGCTGATGTCCTGGGTGAAAGAGAAGCACACAGAACTTAGTCTGTAGGGCAAGACTGTCCCAGGGATGCCAGGCCCCGCATGCGCTCATGGGCATCATCAAGAGGGCAGGGCTGGGGCAGCCTTCTGCCGGCTCAAGAGCGGCTCCACGGATTTAAAGGTGCCTGAGTACCAGCCCAGATGGCCACCACTATGTTGCAGATCGGTGCCTGGTTGGCCTGGGCCAGGCCGGGCTGCTGCAGGCCAGTCCTTTGTTATTTCCAGGGCAGCCCCGCAGGCCAGATCTAACCACCTCATGGGCCAGATCCAGCCCACGGGCCTCAAGTGACACCCCTGCTTTAAGAGATAGAGATTTCAGTACCATGCAAAAATGTTAAGCAATTGTGCAAAAGTGCTATAAATTAAAATGCTTTCAGAAATAGAAGTATAAATAATTTGATTTTTATCAATTAATGAAATGGAAAATAAATGAACAGAAAAGAAATCCAAATCAAATCAATATTTGTTGTGACCACCCTTCAAAACAGCAAACAGACTTGATGAAGTTGAGATCAAGGCTTTGTAGGTGCCAAAACATCACTTCAAGACTTCTTGTTTTTCTTTACACTAAAGATTTTGTGGCATTGGCTGTATGTTTAGGGCTATTGTCCTGCTGCAGAATAAATTTGGGGGCAATCACATGCCTCCCTGATGCTATGGCATGAATGGATAAATATCTGTCTGTATTTCTCAGTATTGAGGATGCTGTTGATCCTGACCAAATCTCCAACTCCATTTGCAGAAATGCAGCCCCAAACTTGCAAAGAATCTCTATCATGCTTCACTATTGCCTACAGACACTCAATATTGTACCACTCTCCAGCCCTCTGGCGAACAAATTGCCTCCTGCTACAGCCACATATTACAATTTTTGTCTCATCAGTCCAGAGCACCTGCTGCCATTTTTCCGCACCCCAGTTTCTAAGTTTTCATGCATAGTTGAGTCATGTAATCTTGCTTCCATGTCAGAGGTATGGCTTTTTTTGGCCGCAATTCTTCCTTAAAGATCACTTCTAGCCAGACTTCTCTGGGCTGTAGAAGTATGTACCTGGGTTCCAGCGGTTTCCTCCAGTTCTGTGCTGATGGCGCTGATGGACATCTTCCATTGTTAAAAGGATACAAGCATGATATATCTTTTATCTGCTCAGTAAGTGTCCTTAGCAGATCACTGTGTCCAAAGTCCTCAATGTTGCCTTTTTCTTGGTGCTTGTTCAAAAGAGTTTGGACAGCACATCTTGAAACCCCAACCTGCTTTGAAATCTTTGCCTGGGAGAGATCTTGCTGATGCAGTATAACTACCTTTGGTCTTGGTCCTAAGTTCAGGTTTACTGTGGTGTATGACCTGTGACATGAAACTGTCTTCCACAACTTCACTTTATTAGCAAAGTTTGGCTTTCTTCACCTAGTTTTTAAGTCGCCTACACAACTGTTTCTGTTTCAGTTAATGACTGTTTCAACCTACATATGAAATTGATGATCATTAGTAATTGCAAGGTTGAAACACAATCATTAACTGAAACACAAAAAGCTGTGTAGGAGGTTTAAAATTAGGCAAGGAACAGTGTGCAAGTATAAGAATTGATGCTGTTTTGAAGGCAAAGAGTGGTCATACCAAATGTGGATTTGATTTGGATTTATCTTCTGTTCATTTAATTTCCATTTTGTTAACTGATAAAAAATAAACTATTAACACTTCTATTTTTGAAAGCATTGTTAATTTACAGCATTTTTTCACAATTGCCTAATACTTTTGCACAGTACTATATGTTGGGAGAAATTGTGTGAGGTGTGGAATAATTGATAATAATCTAATTTGCATTTTATATTACAATCTGTCAGCCTAAGATCAGGAATGCAAAAATTTCAGGGATTCATTTTATTGTTTTAAGGTATAATGTCAGGTGCAAACAATTAGATCCACACATGAAGAGTTCAATTAGCTATTTCATGCCTATAGTAATTCATGCCTATAGTACAGGAATATTATCAGGTTGGCAGTTTGCATCTGGCCAGACTAGATAAAGTTCAATGTCATTCAAGGGGGAATCCAATCTTTCCCTCTTGTGCCTACATAGAGATTACAGCCTAATTTGATTTCTCCTCCTTGCTTGGTCAGCCTCTCTTCAACATATAATAATAAAAACTTCATCAGAATACATTTTATAACAAACAAAATAAAAACAGGTTTACATTTCCTAATAACATTTTATGACAATGTGCAAATGCTCTTTATGCCTTGCCCCAGAACCTGGGGACTCTAATGGTCTATATCAGTTGTCCCCAACCTTTTTGGCAGCAAGTATTGGTTCTGTGGAGAAAGATTTTTCTGCGGACCAGAAAATCTTTGTATCTGATAAAGTTTCTTGATATGAAAATACATCTGTTGCTGATTGAATAGAATAACATTGACCATGGGATCCTTAGCTAAATGCAGTTAGCACATGAATTGTTCCTGGAGCAGGAACAACTTGCCCAGTAACTCATGGTTTTATCATCACTGTTGGCATATGCAATGTGCTGTAAGTGAGACAGCCTTTGAAGCTCCAATTGTTAATTGGTATTTATTACTATAAAAATATTAAACTTGTGCTATACATTGCCATCCAATAGATTTCTAGATGCAGTTCAAAGTGCTAACTTTTGATCTATACAGAATGTCTTACACTTAGATTTCCATTCAGAATCATGCTATTAATTTGATTATCCCAGGAAAAACTACTGATAGTACCCCACTACAGTACCTCAGTAGTAAAAAGATGGACAAGAGCTTTGAAATTTGGAGGCACACTTTTTCAAATGGTTGTATTTGGAACAGCTTTCCAACTGAAATTGGACTTGCTCACCAGAATGGTCTCTTTTCAGAAAATGCTAAAAACAAAACTTGGGTAAAAATATTTGTAGTCTTAAGTATATGATATCTAGGATTATACATCGTTGCTGGATTTTTAGACTTTTCTGTTATAAAACAATTGATTCTCCTTCCTATTCGTTTTTTTTTTCTTTTGGCTTACCATGAACATTTCATTTTTTATTTTATCAGGAATATTCGATATTATTCCTTTTATTGTTAACTGCTGGGAATCCTAATAAAAATTAGAACAGTATGCAAGGTGGATAAATGAACTCCACTAAAACCAAAAGCTTCTGTTCAGAAGCCTCTTGGATTTAAGTTTCATCAGTAGGATATGTTACGATTGAAACACAGATTTCAGGAGAACCCAAAGATTTTGATCTTTGTTCTTTATCAAATCTAAAGAATTATTTCAGAAATCTTCATGTTACGTAAGAGAAAATGGCCTGTTTTTATCAGCTACAAGACATCTTTATGTTGCTGTTAAAGGAAAAATGTAGCAACATATCAGTATTTTAAGTGCCTAAGGAAAAAGAACACATTGTTTTAATTCATTTTGACTTTGCATTTCTGCTGCTGATTTTTTTAAATATAAGTCTATATTTATTTCTATATCTATTTGAGGAAAGAGAGCAATTGTCAAACAAACTAATAAACTGCAGGTGTATCATAATCGGAACATAAGAAAATTATCTTAAGAACAATAAAATAAATTATAAAGAATGTCATACACAAACAGAAATGATTTGAGTATAGAAGCATACATAAGATGTTTTAAGTGACAAGGCCTGTTTATGTTGTTTGGTAAAATTATATAGAAACCCTATTATTGATAAAGTCACAATTGAAAAAAATTGTACATTGCATACAAATAAGGCTTTGCTAATGGAAAAACTGAATTAATGTAGCTAGATAGCTTGCACTTAATTTAGCTATGTAACATGAACTAAAGCAATTAGAATTATATTTTTTTAAAATAAGATGATTCTGAAAGCCGCTGATAAATAACAAGAAAGAGAAAGAAGAAAAACACCCACACCAGCTAAAGAACTGTCAGCTGTGACTTCATTTTATTGTGTGAACACATATTAAATAGTCTGGCTATTTTTCATGATTAATACGGTTGATGGCATCAGGTTGAGGTTCTCTGTTCTATATGTTCTTTCAGTCAATCCTCTCGTAGTAGACTTCAGATCTCTGGACAATAGCAGAACTCAGAATGTTCCTGTCTTCAAACTTATGTTTGTCTTTGCAGTATCTTAGTAAATATTTTTTTTTAAAGTTGAGAATATGAACATATAGTAGCTTTAAGGTTAACATGAGACAGGAGCTCTTTGCAAATGGATGCAGCAGGAATGTAAAACAAACTTTTGTGTAATTTTTCCTCAACTTTGGCAAAGTTTTAACCTAGTCAAGTTTTATTTTACTTTTGCTTATAGGAAGAAGAATTAGAGGCTCAGATTTCATTTCTTCAAGGACAATTGAATGAGTTAGAAGCTATGTGTAAATATTGTGCAAAAATGATGAACATACATCTAGGTAAGAAGGAAGTCCATATTTCTAGATATGAAATGATAATGTATATTCTCTAGATAATGTTTATATTATCAGGTTGATAATAGTATGTTAGGAAAGTATGCATGTAGGCAGGAGTGGAATTCAAAAACAAAAATTTAACAACTGGTTCTGTGGGCATGGCTTAGGTGGTGGCATGGTTTGGTGGTCATGTGACTGGGTGGACATGGCTTGGTGGTCATGTTATTGGCTGGGTGTAGCCAACTCTATATCACTCACATCGAGGCACACATCTCCTCGCCTGGCCTCTGATGACTGTGGGGATGCTGCAACAGTTGTAAGCGTGAAAAATGGTCATAAGTCACTTTTTCCAGTGCCATTGTAACTTTGAATGGTCACTCCACACAAGCAAAGTACCAGCAAAGGAGGGGGGGAAATTCCAGAGACGTTCCTGAGTCAGGAAGTCTAGTCCTGCCAAGAATGTAATAAGGGTTAATGGAGAGACAGTTTCTGTAAGCAACAGCAGAATGTTTCCTTCTTGCCTTCCTTACAGGATTAGGCCAGTAATTTCTTCTAACAACCGGTTCTCCGAACTGCTTAGAATGTTAACAACCGGTTCTAGTGAATAGGTGCGAACTGGTAGAATCCCACCCTGCATGTAGGTGTTTATTCATACAAGCAAAGAATATAGATAGCACAATACTGGTTTAAATCTAGAAACATTAAACAAAGTTGAAAACATCATAAATATTGAGAAGTTCTAAAATCACTCAGCTAGGTATAACCAAGCAGATATATGAGAACAATTGCAATGTTGTGCCTTAGGTGACGTGAAGAAAGCCAGTTTCTCTGATAGCCCTACAGAAAGAAATTGAAAATATCTATCTACCAATATGCCCTGGATCAGCATGTGGTGGACTGATTCTTTAAAAAATACGTTTTAGTACATGAAATAGTACCAGATTATATAGTTACTATTGAAGCACATTTTGGTTTTCCTTCTTTACCACATAATTTGAAATATTTTTCTCCTCATTTGAAAAATTATTATGGATTGTCATTACAGTCAGCCAAAACGGTCAAACTGGATTTGGCATTTTTATTAAACTATCGGGTCCTTCTCATGGATGTAGGATAAATAGATGTGGATGTTTGATGGTATTACAAATATCGTCACATGATATAAATTATTCCAACTAAAGCTGCCTTTTGCAATTGACTGATAATGAATTTGTCAATGCCGATGGCATCCAAGTGGTGCTTGTTTTGGGATTGCACCAGTAGTGGGATTCAAATAATTTAACAACCAGTTCTCTGCCCTAATGACCAGCTGGGTAGGCGTGGCTGGGTGGTCATGTGACTGGGTGGGTGCGGCCAACTCGACGTCACTCATGTCAAGGGACGCTTCTCCTCACCTGGCCTCTTGTGACCATGGAGATGTTGCAATGGTAGTGTGAAAAACAGTCATGTCACTTTTTTCAGTGCTATTGTAATTTTGAATGGTCACTAAATGAACTTTTGTAAGTCAAGGATTACTTGTACAAAAATACTAAAAGCTTCTTTGCTTAAAAAGTTGCCCTAAATATCAATCATTAGATTAAAAATACCTGCAAGGGGGAGTTCCAAATGAGGCAAGGTGCCAGAGCACTTTGAGGAATTAAAATAATTAAAATGCAATGATAACTATCAGTAGCCAACTCTTGCTCATAAAGTGAAACCCTTTAGCAGAGAGGTCATTTAAGCTTTCCAGAAAGAGCACACCCAGGAAAAGCAATCCTTAGATCCATTTGCACCACTTAAAGACATCAGCTGGTCTCACTCACCTCACAAGATATCCTAAGGAAATCATCCAAATTTAAGGAAAGATCATATGCCCCCCAGAAAAAAATCATTGCCAAGCTCGCATCCTGTCTCTTGGAAGTACACCCCTAATGGACAGTGCCAGATACCACTAAAGCAGTGAAGGAAGACCCCCTTCCCAGATAGAAAAAGAAACCATGAGGCAAGAAAAAATCCAAACACAATACAAACAATTAAATCACAACAGTAGCTGTTGCTTGTTAAACCAATTACCAGACCAAATAGGCACAGGAACCAGCCAGATTTCTCAAACCAGTTTCTTTTCAGGAACAGAGATTAATCTTTTTCCTGAATAGGGAAAATTATCCCATCAATAAACAGGATTAAATGCCATCAAGCACAGAATTAAACTTCACCAAAAACCAGTTTTAGACCAAAACTCAGAAAGGGTATGTAAACTCACATTTGAATGTCAATCTTTCTGGCTAGCCAAGAAGCCTTGCTGAATGTCACTCATCTTGTTTCTTTGTCATTAAAAGCTTGTTTCCAGCAACTCTGCTTCATTATTCAATTATTTGTTCAAAGTGCTGATTGGTTGGGAGTATTTCCTCCCAACAGCAGTGTAAAAATCTTAAAACAACCCTTCCCCTTTAAGAAAGTCAAGCCCCAGCACAGCAAACAAAAGAAAAAACTCAGGAGAAGCTCTGGTGACAGGAAGTCTAGGCATACTGGCAAGAATGTAAAAGGGTTAATGGAGAGGCAGTTTCTGTAAGCAGGGCAATAAAGATTAAGCTAGAAACAACACCAGAATGTTTCCTGCCTTCCTTACAAGATTAGCCCTGTAAAGTGGAAAAAAACAAAAGGAGATTTCTTCCAATAACCGGTTTTCCAAACTGCTTAGAAAGTTAACAACCGGTTCTAGCAAATAGGTGAGAACCGGTAGAATCCCATCTCTAGATTGTGCCCAACATGCCTATTACCATTGACACCCTTTTTCTTTTTGTTATAGTCATTCTGTTTCTATTTGCAGGACTTTGTATATTGCAATCCTCTAGAGTTACTTCTTTTCTCTTCTGCTGTCTCCAGTACTGCCACGTACCATTTTTCTTTCGTATTGACAATTATTAAGTCTAGGTGTTATTCTTACTAAATTTATTTGCTGCAGTTCTTGCTTTGGGATTGATCGTTGTCAAACCTTTGCTAGGATTCTCATTTAATTTATATTGCAACATTTTTCATTTTATTTACATAACTTTTTTCTGCAATAGTAAGCCTTATCAGAAACTGGATTTGGATGGATTTTCCCTACTTTATCTATAATTTGTCCACAAATTGGATGTTGTTAGAATTCCAAGCAACTTTTGTAACTATTTTGTAACCATGATACTAGTATTTATCATAGATTTTATGGTATCCACAAATTTCCAAATTTATAATTGTATTCCCTAAAACGTAAAGGAAGAAATGATGTTAGAGTAGTAATTTTTATTTGTGTTTTTATATAAAAGCTTCCTCATTAAGTGTTCTTCTACTTGTTTTGCGGCACCACACAATGACAATATAATTGTAGATTTGGGACCCTATCTATGTGTTATTATAGAAATGAATGTAGAGCTTTGCATAATATAAATACAGCATGTGAAACAATGATATATTGATTTTTATGGCAAGCTTAATACATGTGGAAAAGAGCCTTCACATTTTGTAGCTATCCATTGTGATATACATAAAGACATTTGAAATCTTTAGCAACATTGTATTAATTTTAGGGGGTCCTTACTCCAGGGCATTAATAACTGTTTGGTTCTGCATAAGTTTTAATAATGTGAGAGAGTAGACTGTTAACCTGCTGAATTTTGCTATAAAAACCCAATGTAGTCTTTGTTTAGTATTCCCTAATATTAGCTTTGTTGCATTATTAATGTTAGGAGTTATCCTAGAAATATTAATATATACCAGTGGTTCCCAAACTTTTTCAGTCCACCGCCCCCTTGGTGCTACAAACTCATCCTCAGGGCCCCCCACCCAGGGGTGGGATTCAAATTTCTTAACAACCGGTTCTGTGAGCGTGGCCTAATTTGTGAGTGTGGCTTGGTGGTCATGTGACTGGGGGCGTGGCTTGCTGGATGGGTATGGCTTGGTGGTCACGTGACCGGGCGTGCATGCTTTGGTGGTCATGTGACTGGGTAAGTGTGGCCAGGTGGCCATGTGACTGGCAAATCAAATACAAGTGATCCTCACTTAATGGTCTTTGCTTACCAAGTGTTCTAATTTATGACTGACCTCCCCAGAGCTACTTGACCTGTTTTTGGAGTTTTGACAGCCATGCGCGCGCGCACACACACACACATACACACACTACTAACCCTGCTGGAGCAGGTGGTTGGATTAGATATCTCATTCATTTTCTCCTCCCTCCCTCCCTTTCTTTCTTTCTTTTTTCTTTCTTTCTTTCTCTTTCTTTCTGTCCCTTTCATCCCACCCTCTTTCTATGTCTATCTCTTTTCTTCCTTTCTCTTCCTTTCTCTCTCCCTTTTTCTTTCTTTCCCTTTTCTCTTTCTTTTCTTTCTTGTCTCTTTCTTCTCTCTCTCTCTCTCTCCCTCCCTCCCATATATCCCATTCACTTTCTCCTCCCTCCCTCTCTCTTTCTTTTTCTTTCTGTTCCTTCTTTCCATCCCCCTCTTTCCTTGTCTATCCTTTCTCTTCCTTTCTCTCTTCCTTTTTCTTTCTTTCCCTTTTCTTTCTTTACTTTCTTGTCTCTTCCTCTCTCTCTCTCTTTCCCTCTCTCTTTCTCTCTCTCTATCCCTTCGCTTCCTCCTTCTCTCTCTCCTTCTAAACTAAGAGACCCACCTGAAACACACACACACACACACTTCCAACAAGGTAGTTACCTGGCAGTGTCACTCGTGACGAGTCTCCCAGAGTCCCTGGGGTCGGGCGCAATTGTCCGTTTATGCCCAGTCCCACGTTGCCCAGAAAAGCCAGCAGGCAAGACTTCCAGGTCCAACAAAGGGACCATGGGTAGGACTTCCACCCCTTCCTCTTTTGGAGAAAGGGCTGGGAACTTCAAGCGAGGCTGCAGCCTCGCCCACCACAGGAGGTACGGGAGAAGTGACCTGCAGGAAAGGTGAGCCAGCCAGGGCAGACCTGTCACTACTTGGCACCCCGCCAGCCTGTATCTTGTCAGCTGCTGGGGCTCACAGGTCCGGCTGCTGAGGGGGAGTGCAGGAAGCAACCATGAAGCATGAGGCTTATGCCGCCTGCATCTCCCCTCTACCAGCCACCCCTCCAAGCATTTTAGCCAAGTTCGGGCCGCCACTATGCAAGCTCCATGGGTGGAAGATCCGCTCTCATGAGGCTTGACTCGCATCATTTTCACAGCAGTGGCCCGCATTCAGCCAAACCTCGCAGGCTGGCAGGTGGCAGAGGGAAGGGGCAGGCAAGGCCCAGCAGGCAAGGCCCAGCAGCTGCAGATAATCCAGGCGGGATCCAAGTGGCAATGGGTCAGCCCTGGCTTGCCTTCCTCCTGGCCACCAGCAAGCCATGCAAGTGGGGTGGGGGGAAACTGAATTGTGGCCTGTGAGGGGCCCACCTCCAGCACTCTTCTACCACCTCCCTTGCCTCTTAGTGCCCCCCGCCACCCCCTTGCCTCTTATTGCCCCCCCTAAGATATCCCACCGCCCCCTGGGGCCCACTTTGGGAACCACTGATATATACCATCCTTATGCAGGCATTTTGTAGATATTAAAAGTGAGGAGAATAGATGTACATGCAAGGGCTATCTTAATATCGTAGCTTCCACATTGATCCACTGTAATATTGTTAAACATAATATTATAGTTTAATAATAACTATAGTTAAATATCAATAAAATATTGAACTGATACTGTTCTGAGCCATCTAGAATTTAACCATAACCTTTAAACAATGCATATATTCTGATATGTACCACAAATTAGTTTTTGAATTATTGTTGTCATTCATTGTCTATCTATTTGGTTACAAAACAATCTTTTGACAGAATAGACTTATTATGAAGAATGTATATTAATTGCAGAGATCCTGAACAAGAATCATGGTTTTTATATGCTTTTGAACAATATGAGTCCTAACTCAAAAAAGTCATTTATGACATAATAACAGATTTTCTTTGCTTTGCAAAATAATTTATATGTCTCATAATTCATTTGTGGAATATAAATGTTCACTGTTCCATAAAAGATGTTCCCAGGCTTTTCTCTGTTTTAATGCAGCTCATGAAAGTTTTATTACTTCTTTAAATCAGAAAACAGCAACATCAGAAGCATACTTCAAACCTAAAATGTTACTATATAGACATTTTTTTCATATGTGCAATACAAAGTTATCAGTACAAATGCAACCACAAACCTGGACAAAATAATAATACCTTTTTATATATTATATATAATGTATAGTTACATTTAAATATCCCATTAATATTTAAATGATATTTTACAAAATACCAGGTGTTCAGGACTATTTGCTTATGTGCATTGTGCCATTCACTCCTATTAATTTAATTTACTGTGTTAATTCATATGGTTAGGTAAGTTGACTGCAAATGTAGTAATATCCACATATTAAACTATAATGTTATAATATTGCTACATCCTTTGTAAGTAATGTATCAGATCTTTCCATTAGGGAGTAACTGGGAAAATGCAGTAATTTAGACCAAAGTTGTAATAAGGGTTCAAAAGGAAAAGAATCAAAGCTATAAATTATATCCCAAACTATGACTGGATATATTAAATGAAGTACTTTCTGTAAGAGATCAGGATTAGGCCAACCACAGACTAACACTTTATCTCTTTCTTGCATGTCCAGGAGATCATATTTTAATTAATTTGAGATTAGCATTAAGTACAAATTCTAAACTATAGTTACTCATAATTATTGATAGTAAAACTAATCAGTCTGATAACCACAGTTTGAAGTTATTTGCTCCAATAAGCACAGCTAATATTTTAATATATGTTTTAAGTTTGAGGCTTAATTTTTTTTAAAAGGATGGAAAAGATTTAGGTCTGTCTTTTTATTTTATTTAGACAGATATTTTCCTTCATTAAAATAATACTAATAGCAATAGCACTTAGACATATATACTGCTTTATAATGCTTTACAGCCCTCTCTAAGGGGTTTACAGAGTCAGCCTATTGCCGCCAACAATTTGGGACCTCATTTTACCCACCTCGGAAGGATGGAAGGATGAGTCAACCTTGAGCCTTGTGGGATTTGAACTGCCAAATTGTAGGCAGCTAGCTGCAACAGAAGTAGCTTCCAGTACTGCACTCTAATCACTGTGCCACAGAGGCTCCTTAATGATAATACAGTAAAACAAGTCAATAAATCAATACACAATTGCAAAGATTAAAATTGAAAAAGGGGTTAGAGCTGTTATTCCTAGATGTGAGACTGACAAAACAGGGGTTTTTGGAGGTGCAGAGAAATTTATGATAATATGGCTTAGGGTTCTTGTTCTGTCATATTTTAATTCAGATGATCATTTTCCATGACTTCATAGTAGGTGTTAAGTAAGCATAACAGTGACTGAAAGGAACCTGTAGAACCCACAGCTCAGGTACTATGAGGTTAAGGCATATATGTGAGTGGAAGAATGACAGTACTGTGCTCCAGATCCCCAGTCACAGATTCCCAATCTCTCAAAATCAGAACTGAACCCATAACAGGAATAGTCCTAATAATTATTGAAACTGCACGGTAAGTAGCCTCTAAATTTCTTTTCTGAGTATTAGTGCTTAGCCAGTATTTATTAAAATCAATTGGATCCAGAGCTTTCTTTTAGAAGTGGACTTGCTATTGCTTTCTTTAAAGCATTTCATACCTGTCCCTTTTTTATGGGTACCTTTATCTCTCACTGTTCTCAGGCAGCCTGCCCCTCTCTCATTCAGTTAGATCCAGGCAGCTAAGAAAGAGGGTTTAAAAAGATACGATGTTGCACACAGCTTCAAGCACATCTCCGTTATGTTCAATTTATCTCAAAATTGGATTAAATTGATCACAGAATACCCAATTCAAATTCATAACAATGAAGGCATCGTGTTTAAAGTCTCAAAACTGTACAAACCCTGCTGAGCTGCACTAAGCCTTCTTTGTTGCCTTTATTGCACCATAGTACAAAAAGAACATGTTCAAAATGACTTTTGGTCATCTTTCAACAACAATTCTGCTAGCTGTGTATTAGCCATCTCCAGACCTTCTTGCCAATAGATCCTTCTTTTCTTGTTCTGGGAAAATGGCACTCTTCCAGGAATTACCTAAAATCTCTGCCACTATTTCCAGAGGTATGGAGCAAAAAATTAAGACTATGGATAATAAAGATATTAATAGGAATCTATGGTCTGTGATATCCCAAAGAGAAATCCTTCAGCATTATTCCTGTCATCTGGAAAATATCTCAGGGCTTTCAAGAATTCTTCATATTCCATGTTTATGAGGGTGGATTATTATCCCTTAGATCTGTCAGTGGAAGAATAACAAATGGACCGTATTCTAGAAGTTCTATTTCTCATATCAGTAGCAAGTAAATGTTCCATCTAATTTCAACTATTGCCACTAGACAAAGCTCCATAAAAAGGGGCCTGTGATGTTTTCTAGACATAAATTTTGAACAGAAATTCTCTCCAGGATTTAAGAGAATATATTGCATATATGTACCATATCATTGATAATATTAGAATTATTTTTTTATGTAATAATTTATGTCACATCATTCTAGTATTTCTGTCATATTCAGAGGAGATCTAAAAATATAATCTTTAAAATGAGAAAGTATAAAATTATATATTAAACATAAAGAAACAGAAGTCCGGTGAAAAAATAACTGAACAAATACCATATGAGATATATGTGCCTCAACCAGAAATACCAGAAATCCATGTCAGAGACATACACTATTTACATTCTGTCTTATTGCTGCAACTGTTGAAGAGTACTTGTGCTCAGTAATGGTCATGCTTATCTTTATCCTTATATTGTATAGCCTCAGCTTTATGAAAATCCTGAACATTTTTTAAAAAAAAATGCTTAGCTACTTGTGATTTTTAATAACATCTTTTTAAAAAAAGAAAAGCATGTCTGTTTGATAGAAATAAACAGAAGACTGATTCATTGATACTGACATTATAGGAAATATTCAAGAAGTCATCCTGCAAGAACACTTGGAAAAAGAAGATGAAATTCTAGTTTCTTTGGCTGGGCTGAAGCAGGTATGGAAGAAAAGTAATGTAATTTTAATATTTTATTCTTATATAAATCTTAACATTTTTAAAAATATGTTAATATTTTCCTCTTCAGTGAAGAGGAAAACTAAATTTTCCTAGACTATTCATAATGGATCTGTCTTAGAATACCAGATAAATTTTCTCTGAGAACATACCTTGATTGATTGAAATTTCCTTCCATTTTAATTGTTACTTTCCTCATGTTCATTAGCAGCCAGAGCTTTCTATTTTCTTACTCTGTGATAAGAGCATTCTTCCAGGAATTACCTAAAAGTCCTGCCACTATTCCCAGAGAGATATGGCTATCCAAATTCTGCCCATCTGTTCCCATCCCACCCCCTCCTAATACTATGCAATAGTGTAGCTTCTAATGTGTACTGCCAGGGGGATTGAATCATAGTAGGGCACTTTACTTTCATCCCAATGATACCAAGTTTTCCCCAGGTGCTGTTCAAAGCTGAAATGCTAGGTGCAAAACATGTGAAATTCCAATTAAACTGTTTTATTATTATATTATTTACGTAACCTTACATGGTATATATCAGCATTTTAATGACATCAGAACCAGTTGTGATATTTTATTATTTTAAATGTATTTGCCTTGCCTCATTATTTTAACTAAAAGATTCATGAGTTCCCTACAGCTTTTACTGAGAAACACTGTTAGTTATTTTGTACATGTTTTGATCACTTAAGATAGGATGATAGGATAGGGTGATAGGATGATAGGATAGTTGATAGTTGATGATAGGATAGTTCTCTCAAGAGAATCTAGGTAGACTTTTTTAGAATTCATCCAAAGCATGCATTTTTTTCCCTTATCTTCAATAGATTAAGGATATTCTGAAAGGCTCCCTCCGTTTCAATCAGAGTCAACTGGAAGCAGAAGAGAATGAACAGATTACAATAGAAGATGATCATTATTGTTCCAGCAATCAGAGCAAGAGGGCAGTGGAAAATATAGAAAACCCCTCAGCTCCAAAGCAGTCTGTCCCTCTACTGAAGGAGGTAAAATGCATGCTTTTCAGTGAAATCCTTGAAGAGAATGTATCCATCAAAAAGTGTATTGCTATAGTTCAAAAATAATTTAAAAACTTATAAAGACCCAATCATATGCAGCTCACTGAATTTGTGTGTTTTGTAGTTTTAATATTTAGTATTATCTTTTCATTTTAATTTTAACAAATCTATCTTCTAGGCCAGTGGTGTCAAAATCGCACCGTCACATTGTCGTCACTTGACGTATTGTGACTTTTTTCCCCTTTGCTAAACCGGCGGTGGGTATGGCCAGCACGTGACATAACTGGCCTGCGGGCTGCGAGTTTGACACCCCTGTTCTAGGCTAACATTAAGCCTTAGCATTTGTTCCGATACAAGTAGTTCTTGTTTAACTACCATTCATTCAACAACTGATCTAAATGACAATAGTGCTGAAAAGAATTGATAGTTATGGCCAGTCCTTGAAATTAATAGTTGTTGCAGCACCCTGTGGTCATGTGATCAAAATTTGGATGTTTGGCAGCATGCTCACACTTAGAACTACAACATATATTTCAACTCCCATAACCCACCCCGATCTATTCCCCATCTCTCCTCTTTTGGCAGCTGCATTCTGCAGACACCACCTACTACTAATACTAACCCTTCTGCTTTGCTGGTAAATCTTATCGTCAGTGAGAAGAATATGGCAAAACTTCGGGTTATATAGAGCCACCTTTAGCATATAAAATTGCTAAATTTTTATAGGAAATCAATCATTACAATATTTTAATGTAAAATCAGTAACCTCTAAGCTAAAAGATCTGTGACATTTAATAATATTAGCAACTATAAATTAAAAGTAACACATAAGAACGTATTGACTTATTTATTTTAAAAGAACTTCACAGGAGTCCATGGAAAAATATACTTTTACATTTAAAACTACAAAGATGAATTAGACACCAAATTAGTTCCCTGTTCGTTCACATACTGGGTACTCCTGTTCCTAATGCTATGGCTCCCCATCATTTTTAATGACAAATTTAATGTAGTCTCACAACTATTTATAAATTGCTACTAGAAATAGTCTTCAACTTTGTGTCAGTTGCCTAGAGGAAATTAGATTGCAATTCAATAAACATAAAAGCCTTATACTACTCCAGAATATATTAGTTTGTTTGTAATATGGCTTTAGGAAAAAAAGACAAATAACAAAAAAAATTCTCGGTAAATATCACATAAAATAGTTTATAGTGGATTAAACAAATAATGAAAAAGTTAAAATATTTTTATGTTTTTCTTTATATTTTTAACATGGAATATTTTATATTTTTAATTTATATGAATATAATAAATTATATATTTTATTTAAATAATCACTGCTTATTTAAATACATTTATATATTTAAGCAAGCCAAGTTGGCCAATGAAGATATCAGAAACTGTTTTTGTCTTCATTTCTTCTAATGTAATAGCACAAAATTTACTCACTTTCACATGATTACATTGGATCACTCTCTCAATAGAAAAAACATTTCTGGTTAGGACCATTTAAAATATCTGCTGATAGTGGGGGTGGAGGAATGAGATAAAATACAGAGTAGGTAAAATATAGAGTGCAGCTCAGGAAGACTTGCGCATTTATGTCAATCTCTGCATCTGATGATCTGCAGAGCTCTTCTTAAAAAGAAATGTTACTAAATCTCCATCATGTTCAAAGGTAGGATATCAAATCTTTCCATATTGCATTTTGTTAAAGATATATACAGGTATAATAGGGATTGTCAACAAAGATAATAAAAGGATAAAAGTTTCCCTGTCCAGTCATGTCTGATTCTAGGGTACAGTACTCATTTCCATTTTATTGTGGTGAAATTAGTGGAAAGTGAAGGCTTCATCAAGCAATAATAAATAAAAATAATTGACTGTTCCAGCATCCTATTCCTCACTCTTCAAATAAGCCTAGCTCCATTGCCAATGATTTAATCTCTATAGAGCAGAGGTGAGATTCAAATTTCTTAATAACCGGTTCTGTGAGCATGGCCTAATTTGTGAGTGTGGCTTGGTGGTCATGTGACTGGGGGCATGACTTACTGACTGGGCGTGGCTAGGTGATCATGTGACTGACTGGTCATGGCAAGATGGTCATGTGACTGGCGGGTGTCTAGGTGGTCATGTGATTAGGGTAGGCGTGGCTAGGTGGCCATGTGACTGGCAAACCAAATATAAGTAGTCCTTGCTTAATGGCCAGTTGCTTAGCAAGTGTTCTAATTTATGACTAACCTGCCCAGAGCTACTTGACCTGTTTTTGGTATTTTGATAGCCATACACACACACACACACACACACACACACACACACACTTATGACCAGTTACAACATCCCATAGTCTTGTGACTGAGGTTTTCTATGGTTTTTGCCAGTTTCCAATAATTCCTTCTGGTTTCCAGTTAAAAATGCCCATTGGGGAAAATGGACTTGTTTAACAACCAGGGTTTGCTTAATGACCACAAGGTTCACTTAATGACCATGGTGTTTGCCTAACCCAGGGGTCTGCAACCTTAAACACTCAAAGAGCCATTTTTCTATTTTCTTTTAAACAGGTATCTCTGTCTCTGTCTTTCTTTCTTTCTCATCTCTCTCTCTCTCATCTCTTTCTCTTTCTTCCTCATCTCTCTCTTTCTCCCTCTTTCTATTTCCCATTTCTCTTTCTCTCATCTACAACTGCTAAGATTGGAAGCTGTTTCTTTGCACTTTTTTCACACACATCTGTGTATATGTATCCAATATTCTTTCTTCCTTTCTGGTATGTATTCAAAATGGGCAATGATTTGTGTGTGTGTGAGAGAGAGAGAGAGAGAGAATGTGTGTGTAGCATGTGTATATGTGTGTTATGTATGTGTATGGATATGCATATATATTTCACTTTTAATGTGTGCCAGTGTACTTACAGTAAAAAAATGACAATAAATGTTATTTTATCCTATCTTCCTTCTTTCCTTCCCAACCCCATTCCTCCCCACACCCTATTTTGTGTTGGCTTCCCAGCCAAGTACTTACCAAGTCTGATCCTGTTTAGCTTTCTAAAATCAGCCTACTGAAATAAATACCAAACTAAACTGCCCAATAATTTTCCTACCATCACTATCTTGCACCTGATTTCAATGTAAATAGCCAATCTGCAGTATTACTAAATTTTGCTAGGCATCTGCTGCATGTTACTCTCTTCCTTGATAATCTAGTCCAGAGGTCCCCAAACTTGGCAATTTTAAGACTTGTGGACTTCCAGAATTCTCCAGCCAGCAAGTTTGGGGACCCCTGATCTAGTTTTAGTTGGGCAAAACAGTCTGGAGTCACTGGCAAGAGCAGTTCAGCGGGGAGAAAAGTTGTGCGTCTCCCCATATTGCTTTCTCCGCAAGCAGCCTTGTCCCCCCCTCCTCATTTATAAAGCATGCTAAGTTTAAAGGTGCTGCTCGTGGTGAGAGACATGCGACTTTTCTCCGTACCAAGAGGGCTGCTCTCTCTCTCTCACCTCCACTCCTGGCGGAGAAAACAGTCAATGGGAGCAGCAGTTGAGGCAGTCAGTCACCTGTACCGAGGTTTATGCTCATCATAACTGCAGGGGGTGGGGGATACAGCAGCAGCGAGGCGGCAATGGTGATTCCAGTGGCATCGTGGCTTCCGGGACCCAATCTGTCCCCCTCCCGCCGCCATCCATGCGGCCACACAAGTGGTGCATCAAGGCTTCCAGACTCTGCTCCCCGCAGCTGCTGTCAGCTGTCCTGGACTCAATCAAAGGCGCCTTGCTGACACGAGCCTCTCCACGTGTTCTTTCCTGCTGCTGTTTTGGGGAGAGCAAGAGTTTCCCAAAACAGCGGAAAGCTTCCAAATCCCCCTCCATCAAAAACGGCTCCTGGGCAAGCAGAGAGAAGCAGGATTCAACCTGGCTTGCTTCTCTGCTTGCCCGGGAGCCGTTTTTAATGGGAGGGGGGACTTGGAAGCTTTCCGCTGTGCTGGGAAACTCTTGTCTCCCATCAACAGCAATAGGAAGGAACACGTGGAGGCTCCAGCCAAGTTAATGGCTGCTTCTATCACCTGCTGCTGTTTTGGGGAGAGAAAAAGTTTCCCAAGACAGCAGAAAGCTCCCAAGTCGTCGTCCCCCACATTGGAAACAGCTCCTGGGCAAGCAGAGAGAAGCAGGATTCAACCTGGCTTCTCTGCTTGCCTGGGAGGGTGGGACTTGGAATGGGAGGGGGAGAATTGGAATGGGAGGAGGGACAATTTCCTGCTTTCTAGCTAATCTAAATCACCTGGCACAACTGAGAGTCGGAACAGCTAATTGTTGGGGGAGGGGAGGAAAAATAACAACTTACCAAAAACTAGATGAAGGTTCAACACAGGCAAGTTGGAGGGCGCGTATGCCAGGTAAGGCATGACTGGGCGGTAAGGGGTGGGCAGGGAGGGGCAGAGTCAGCTAGAGGCACGATTTGCTGGTTCTCCGAACTGCGCAGAATTGTAACAATCGGTTCTATAGAACTGGTCCGACCAGGTAGTGTTCTGATTTCTTTCTGTTGATCAGGATTGCTAGGGTGAGTTTGTGTCTGTCCAAATAAAGGTCTTAGGCAGCTTCTTTTGTGGGAGGTTGGGTTGTTCCTTTGATAGTAGAGTTGGTGTGAATGATTATTCTGTACACTTGAGTTTCTAGTTTGCCATTGGGGTCTCTGCTGATCAGGATGTCCAAGAGGGGCAGTGAGATGTTGTTTTCTCCTTCTCTGGTAAAGTGGATTCTTTTGAAGAAGTTGATGAGCCTATGGATATTCTCTAATTGATCCTTTTATATTAAAATGAAAATGTAATCTAAATATTTGATCCATATTTTAGATTGTATTTGTAGAAGTGCTGTGGCTTTTAGATGTTACATTACAACATCTGCTATAAGTCCTGAAACCAGTCATGCCATAGGTGTATATTTAATTCATTGGTAAAGTGTATAGTTTGAAAGTACATAGTTTCAAATTGAAAGTATGCAGTTAGGCAAAGGTTTATAAGACCCATAATTCTGGATGTTTAAGTGTGTATTTGGTTCAGTCAAGTGTGCTAGGGAACAATGTGGTCATAGATTTGGCTAATTCCAGACCTATAGACATAAAAAGGCTGTGACATCTACCACAGCGCTTAGATAGTGTTAACAAGATAAAAATGATTTCTGGCCAGGATTATTTAGATGATGGACCATTGAAATGAAAAATGGTTACACAAAATAAAACTAATAAAAACGTATTTTGCCAAAGCACAGCAAGTTTCATCTAAAGTTACTCTGAAGTAAACTCTGAAGTAAGGACCTTGGGATAAATACTGGTACACTGTAGGAACCTTTAAATAATTCCATTAAAAATTGGGAAAACATTGGTCCATAAATAGCCTTCACTATCTGTATAAACAATGTATGGAAAATAAAAAGAGTTAGTTCAGAAAAAAAACAAATATTATTCAACACTTACTGTATAATGAAGAC